ATGAATATTGTGTCAAAATTTTAGAACGATCCGACCATTGGATTTTGCGCAAGCTCCGATTTTCTGGGACTGATTTGTGAAGAATTGAGGGTTGCGAGAATAGGGTTATCTCTCTAGCTTTTCTTGTTGTATTTCTAATACAATGAATGAATAACTTAATTCTCTTTATTAGATAATAACAAAGACATAGACATACACAAGCCACTAACCCACATCCATTTAAGTCTCTCCAAATAACAGGGATATTCCAACAAGTTCTTACCTCATGCAATCCACATCATCGTCTGAAATCCAACTACGACAATACTGGCGCGATCTATTTATTTTTCTTTGTCCGGGAGTAGCTTTCTTTCAGACTGAGTTTTCTCTCTCACAACACATAAAATAAAACCTAACACGTGCGGTTCCTTCTGTTTTATTGGGGAATAGTCAATTTAATTTTGTTGATTCATCTTCACACGCATGATAGAAAATTCTATCAGTTTTCTAATGCAAATATCACATTCCAATTAACAGTATTATAGATTAACTGCTCCTATTTATTGCTATACAAGTAAAGTTTTACGGGCAGATGAATACTTCAACCAATACCCACATGTTTCCCTTAATTATAATTTTTTTAAATGCTGCCATATTCAATACAATAGTTGCTTTATACGATTTTTACATGTTTAGAAACAACTTATGTTATACCATTTTTCAACTCTAAACAAAAAAATCTATTACAGCCCCACAGTTTCTTTATATAAATAGTATACTTCTCAATAGCCACAATACATATAATTTCTCTAAATCTTCAAGAAGGTTACAAACATATATATTGTACTTCAAATTATGTTTGGATATCCAACTAAAAATATTATTCTATCCGATTTAGTGTTATTAACCATTTTTTGGTGCAGGTCCTATACAACAAAGATAGATATGGAAATAATACAGGAGATAAAGATGCCAACCGACCATGATCAGTCACTAATCCGTCTTGAAGCATATGTTATGTTTTTTGAAATTAATTCCAATCAGGTTAATTTAGAAGACGTTGGAGTACATCAGCAACATGATAATAATGTCATTGTTCAAAACTCTCATTTCAACAGACTATATTATAATGCAAAGTTGTTCTGGGAAAAAGAAATCACAAGAGTATCAAAAGGAGGAAAAAATGTCATGGTGATAAATCATATAAACTATTTAATGGCATATTATAGAATTTTTTTTCTTCTATTTGAAAACTAACAAAAAATTTTAAATTTTTTAGAATATTCCAGCTAAGATAGTTCGGAAGAATTTTCGTGCGGATCAGACTGCTCTATTCTTGATAGACCTTGATAAAATAGAATATTATGATTGCCAGATTCTTAAAGGAAAAAAAACCACATACTGAGATGTATCTTAAAAATGGCTGGTATGAATATGCAAAGTCTAAAAACTTCAATGTTGATGATAACTTGATTTTTCATTACCGATCTGATTCAAAGACACTATATGTTAAGTTGGAGAGAAAGCGCCGAAAGTTGGTTGGTGGAATTAATGTATGAGGCTTTATGCTATTTTGTCCGTGTCATTAGATGCTTAAATGTTTGTCTTAAAATAAATTATTATAAACTTATGTCACTAGTTATCATATTGATGTTGAGGTTAATATTTATGCTTTTTTAGAAATGTAATCTAAATACTATGAATATTAAGTCATATATCAAGTTAATTATCATAAACATAGAACATTTTGCATTTTTATTTCTTATAGTCTAACTACAAACATATAAAACAATGTTACCTAACCTCTTTAAACAAAAAAAAGTCACGATTTTGCACGACCCGCGCACGAGTCCTATACTAATTAAATTTTAAAAAAATTAATCACACTTTATTTTAAAATGTGACAATCAAAATCTATCCACATATTATATATCAGATTTTACAAAATATTTGATAATAATTAAATTTTTATATCAATTATATTAAAAATCTAATGTAAATATAAAAATTTAATATATTTATATCAATTTGTTTCAAACATTTGAAATACTAATTAGTTTAAAAAAATTAAAATAAGATACTTTGGTTGGACAATTTTTTAATTAATAGTTTGTTGAGATATTTTTGTGTTACATATAAATATCAGTTTGTTAATTTTAAAAGGGTTAATGTGTAGCACATGTGCCCAATAATAAAAAATAAAATTTATATTTTATTTGAAAGTAATTATAAATTATGAAATTAAAGTATGTTAAAATAAATTAGATATTATTTAATTATTAAAAGAATGATTACATAGAATTTACGAATGTTCCTAAAAAATTAATAAGATAAAACTAATATATGTTTGTTGTTGAGATTTTATTATATATTTGTATCAAATAAAAAAAATTAAAAAAATTAAAATACTAATAATAATTGTGTAAGTGACACGTAACATCAGAAAGCTTCATTGTGTAACTCTTTTTTAATACTATATATAATATTTATTTATTTTTACGGAATTATATATATATATATATATATATATATATATATATATATATATATATATATATATATATATATATATATATATATATATATATATATATATATATATATATATATATATATATATATATATATATATATATATATATATATATATATATATATATATATATATATATATATATATATATATATATATATATATATATATATATATATATATATATATATATATATATATATATATATATATTGATTTAATGAATCTGTTAAAATTCTATATATAGTAATTTAATCAATTTGACTATCTCCTAAACTAATTGATTCAGACGATTTATTTTTTGGATTAGGTTTATGTCTTTGAATTCTATCTTTTCAATAAATTTTAATTCAATTATTATTTTTAATTAATTTATACATAAGAATAAGAAGTCTCTCGGTCAGATTCTAACATCATTCAGGAATATATTAGAGCCTCTTTGTGATTTACCACATGAAGTTTCATGATTACTTGAACCTCTACTTTGATGTCTTCTCCTTGATTCAGTAATCAAAACCTCAGAATATGAAGAAGAACCTCGTGACTTGTGCCTCAATTCCTCATTCAACATACTACTTTTAGCCAAGTCCATCGAGATGATACCATTTGGAGTGAAATTTGACAAGGATGTCCTAAAATTCTCCCAAGAATTAGGCAAAGTACCAATAAGCCACAAACCTTGAATTTCTTCATAAAAATTAAGATTCATATCCGACAATTAATTTAGAATCTCTTGAAAAGTGTTCAAGTGATCGGTTATTGGTGAACCATCATTATACCTCAATGACATCAATTGTTTGAATAAGAATAAATTATTATTCTCTGTATTTCTTGCATACAGCTCCTTAAGTTTGGTCCAAAGAGAGCGAGCATGATTCACCGAGCTCACATGACTCAAAACATTATCATCCACCCATTGACGAATATAACCATAAACTTGTCTATGCAACAAAGTCCATTCTTCATCACTCTTTCCATCGGGTTTTTCATTAGAGAAAACCAACAAGTAAAAACCTTTCACACAAAGCAAATCTTCAATTTTTCTTTTCTAAACATTATAATAGGAACCATTCAAACTCACAATCCTAGATGTGTTCATCTCCATCGTTACACAAATCAAACCACGACTCTAGATACCAATTGTTGGGACGAAATCACAAACGCAACAGAATAACCCAAGAAGTCAAACTCTCCCAAATATCAAATGCACTGACAATCATCAAAAACACATTAAACAACACAACACAATTTTAGCATGGAAAAACCTCCGTTAACTAGGAGTAAAAACTCATGAGACCCGTAAGCCACTTAAAATATTCACTATAATCAACAATGGCTACAAGAAAGGTTCTATCTAACACTAGTTAGAGGCATACATAAACATCATCAAGATTTAGAATTAATATTGGAATACAACAAGAATCAAGAAAGACAAAACAACCCAAAAACACCAAGAAATTCAGACTTCAAAAATGGACTCGACATACCAACTTAGAAAGCTTCAAATCCAATCAAAATCATTCAGAATGTGCTCCCGTGAGTCATGAACATTGTGTCAAAATTTCATAACGATCCGACCATTGGATTTTGCGCAAGCTCCGATTTTCTGGGACTGATTTGTGCAGAATTGAGGTTACGAGAATAAGGTTATCTCTCTAGCTTTTCTTGTTGTATTTCGAATACAATGAATGAATAACTTAATTCTCTTTATTGGATAATAACAAAGACATAGACATACACAAGCCATTAACCCACATCCATTTAAGTATCTCCAAATTACAGGGATATCCAAACAAGTTCTTACCTCATGCAATCCACATCATCGTCTGAAATCCAATTACGGCAATGCTGGCGCGATCTATTTATTTTTCTTTGTCCGGGAGTAGTTTCTTTCGGACTGAATTTTCTCTCTCACAACAAACAGAAAATAAAACCTAACACGTGCGGTTCCTTTTGTTTTATTGGGAATAGTCAATTTAATTTTGTTGATTCATCTTCACACGCATGATAGAAAATTCTATCAGTTTCTAATGCAAATATCACATTCCAATTAACAGTATTATAGATTAACTGCTCCTATTTATTGCTATACAAGTAAAGTTTTACGGGCAGATGAATACTTCAACCAATACCCACATGTTTCCCTTAATTATAATTTTTTTAAATGCTGCCATATTCAATACAATAGTTGCTTTATACGATTTTTACATTGTTTAGAAACAACTTATGTTGTACCATTTTTCAACTCTAAACAAAAAATCTATTACAGCCCCACAGTTTCTTTATATAAATAGTATACTTCTCAATAGCCACAATACATATAATTTCTCTAAATCTTCAAGAAGGTTATAAACATATATATTGTACTTCAAATTATGTTTGGATATCCAACTAAAATTATTATTCTATCCGATTTAGTGTTATTAACCATTTTTGGTGCAGGTCCTATACAACGGAGATAGATATGGAAATAATACAGGAGATAAAGATGTCAACCGACCATGATCAGTCACTAATCTGTCTTGAAGCATATGTTATGTTTTTTGAAATTAATTCCAATCAGGTTAATTTAGAAGACGTTGGAGTACATCAGCAACATGATAATAATGTCATTGTTCAAAACTCTCATTTCAACAGACTATATTATAATGCAAAGTTGTTCTGGGAAAAAGAAATCACAAGAGTATGAAAAGGAGGAAAAAATGTCATGGTGATAAATCATATAAACTATTTAATGGCATATTATAGAATTTTTTTTCTTCTATTTGAAAACTAACAAAAAATTTAAATTTTTTAGAATATTCCAGCTGAGATAGTTCGGAAGAATTTTCGTGCGGATCAGACTGCTCTATCCTTGATAGACCTTGATAAAATGGAATATTATGATTGCCAGATTCTTAAAGGAAAAAAGCCACATATTGAGATGTATCTTAAAAATGGTTGGTATGAATATGCAAAGTCTAAAAACTTCAATGTTGATGATAACTTGATTTTTCATTACCGATCTGATTCAAAGAACTATATGTTAAGCTGGAGAGAAAGCGCCGAAAGATGGTTGGTGGAATTAATGTATAAGGTTTTATGCTATTTTGTCTGTGTCATTTAGATGCTTAATTGTTTGTCTTAAAATAAATTATAATAAACTTATGTCAGTAGTTATCGTATTGATGTTGAAATTAATATTTATGCTTTTTTAGAAATGTAATCTAAATACTATGAATATTAAGTCATATATCAAGTTAATTATCATAAACATAGAACATTTTGCATTTTTATTTCTGATAGTTTAACTACAAACATATAAAACAATGTTACCTAACCTCTTTAAACAAAAAAAAGTCACGATTTTGCACGACCCGCGCACGAGTCCTATACTAATTAAATTTTTAAAAAATTAATCACACTTTATTTTGAAATGTGACAGTCAAAATCCATCCACATATTATATATCAGATCTTACAAAATATTTGATAATAATTAAATTTTTATATCAATTATATTAAAATTTTAATATAAATATAAAAATTTAATATATTTATATCAATTTGTTTCAAACATTTGAAATACTCATACAAACAAAAAAAATTAAAATAAGATACTTTGGTTGGACAATTATTTAATTAATAGTTTGTTGAGATATTTTTGTTTTTATATCAATTATATTAAAATTTTAATATAAATATAAAAATTTAATATATTTATATCAATTTGTTTCAAACATTTGAAATACTCATACAAACAAAAAAAATTAGTTTAAAAAAATTAAAATAAGATACTTTGGTTGGACAATTATTTAATTAATAGTTTGTTGAGATATTTTTGTTTTTATATCAATTATATTAAAATTTTAATATAAATATAAAAATTTAATATATTTATATCAATTTGTTTCAAACATTTGAAATACTCATACAAACAAAAAAAATTAGTTTAAAAAAATTAAAATAAGATACTTTGGTTGGACAATTATTTAATTAATAGTTTGTTGAGATATTTTTGTGTTACATATAAATATGAGTTTGTTAATTTTAAAAGGGTTAATGTGTAGCACATGTGGCCAATAATAAAAAATAAAATATATATTTTATTTGAAAATAATTATAAATTATGAAATCAAAGTATGTTAAAATAAATTAGATATTATTTAATTATTAAAAGAATGATTAGATATAATTTACAATTGTTCCTAAAAAATTAATAAGATAAAAGTAATATATGTTTGTTGTTGAGATTTTATTAGATATTTGTATCAAATAAAATAAAAATAGAAGAAAATGTTGGGATCGTGAAGATGATTTACATGATTACCTCAAATACAAGAACACGCAAAATAAAAATAAAAACAAGTTCAACTACTTGAAAAACCTTCTTCACAAATTTGTTATCAAGCATCCAAAACCCGACCCAGAACTTGTTCAGTTCACAGGGGTTCAGCCAGCATTGTACAATCTCATACCCTTGGTCTTCAATGCTGAAGAAAATCTCACAGAAGATGAAGAAGATTATGATGTTGAAGAAATTGACATGATGCATGTGGATCATGATCCCATGGTAAATGATTTTGATTTTGACTGCATGCAATTGAAATGGGTACTTTTTTGATTTTGTGTTGGTTTATATCTGAAAGGATGAACATTTTTGTAGGATAATGAAGTCAGTGCAAGGAAAGGTGCAGAGTTTAGAGAAAGACTAATGAATGAAGTGAATAGGCCTTACTGTGAGGAAGAGTGCAACAGACTGTTGCAAGCGGGTTCAAAAGCAAAAAATTCTGCGTGGGGTTGAAAAAATCTATGAGGGAGATCATGATGGAAAGTCTTATCATGATCATAACCTTGGTAAGTAGGATTTTTCTATGCTTATGTGAAGTTAATCTTTCTTTCATATTTTGAATTTGGATCAGTTCATTGTGTTTGATTGATGAGGATTTATGGTGATAGAGCAAAAACCACTTTGAAAATGTGATGCAAAATTTTACCTGATTGAGAGAGACTGTTGGTTTTGTAACTATGTTATGTTTGATTCTTGTTTTTAGATCTTGCAAAGCAAATAGATGCAGCTGGTGATAATCTTCCCAAAGTTCTGGCTTTTTCTTTTGGTTGACAGTAAGTATCTTGTAATACTTGAGCATCTCGCTACATGTTTTAGTAACAATGTCGCTCCATTGGATTTGGATGTACTGCAACAACATTAGGAAAGGAAAGGATGATAATTTATTGTGTTTGGTTTTCTATGGTTATGTAAGGCTGCATTTTAAGTAGGTTAGTTAGAAATGGGTGTGTTATATCTGTCTGGTTTAACTTGTTGCCAAGCTTGATTTCATAGTTTAATGTGGTTTTTAGGATGAACAAGTGTCACATATAGCCTGTAAGAACATGAAGCTCAAATTATGACTTGTGTTACTCTTCTTAAGGAACAGGGAAAACTATTCTATATCCCTCTTAACATATCATTCTTGTAAGTGTATCTGCAGAATGAAATTTTCAAAACCAGTGAAAGAAGAAGACCATTTTGTCATGCAATTCATATGAACCTCAAAACAGAAGTAACATTTTAAATTTTTCTGAGTATCAAATTTTCATTCATTCAAGATCACACTTTCCTAACAAGCGTAAATTCGTACAGATAAGTTTGCGGGTATAGAATGACATTGCCTAATAGTAATTACAAACCATATGAGTTAGCCCTAGATTTGTTCTTGCCCATAAGAATTGATCTGATAAGCGTGTTATTCCTCCTCGAGTTTCTTTCTCTGACTCTCACACTCTTCTTTCTGTCTCCGAATCATCTGTAATTCCCTTTGCTGCTCCTCCTCCTTCCGCTGGAGCTCTAGAACTTCTCTTCTCTGAGACTCTTCCACTCTCCTATTCTCTTCAAGCATCTTACACGTGCTTCCAAAATAAGAATAAGAAGTCTTAATCCTATGATAGAGAGCATGGAAATAAATGCTCTTGTATTTTGACGTTCTATATCATGTTTCACATTTTCATTATGTTGACATAAAAATATTTACTCTACTAAAAAATTATGAAATTTATAAACATATAACAAATATAGTCTTAAACAAACTAGAGATAACATCAGAATTCATAGAACAATTATACCTACGACATTAAAACTTTAATAATAACTATTAATCAAATGCTTTTCTCTCCCATTTATTCCTCACTCAAAGTCTTTTTATTTGGAATCAACAATCTTCAACATTTGACTTCTTTTCTTCTTCCATTGTCGAAATCACAATTGATTTCTTTGATTTTTCCCTTTCTTCAATTTCTTCCGACTCATTAGTATCAAGTAAAAAGTATAACTTGTCATTAACCCTGAATGACCAAATGTCAATTTTTTGATTCTTCCTAAAATTATTCTTTGACAAAACGTTTGTCCAGCCTTGAGCAAGATTATAAATGCTAGTAGTGGTCATATTCCACTTCTTCAAATGTAATGAGAATTCATTCAAACAAGGATCTAATACAGTAACCTTTAAAGTAGTTGGTTTTCCTTCTTGATCCCTTGTTTCTAAGATTGACTTTTCTATTTCGGTCAGGAAATCAGATCTAATTTGTGAAATTGGCATTGAAAGACGTTTGTTGTTATAGCTAAGATCGGTGTTACATAATGTCTTACACATTATATATTTAATATCAATGCCATTCAACACTTTGATTATGTCATTAACATGATTAGGCAATTCTGGTGGTGGTGATGGTAGAGTTTCTCTCTTATGGTTTCTTGGTTTCCTCTTAATTGCGAGCTTTGGTTTTACTCTTCTTCCTCCATCAGACATGCTACTGGCTTCATTACTTGGCCGACACCTTTTTAAGTTGTTGATTTCTGTTCTTTCCATTTTATTTTGTGAAACAAGAGGAATATTTGCTTCTTGATACAAAATTTGATTGACTTTCTCTATTTGTGTTAACTCTTCTTCAGTATAAAACTGTGGAGAAAGTTGAGATAACACACTATGCAAAGTAAAATGAGGTAATGGGTCAATTTTTTTTTTCATTGTTTCCAATTTTTGCATATATATATATATTGATCTTCTCAATAGCCATAACTTTCTTTTTCATGAGGACTTCTTCTGAGTTTTGTAACAATGCACTTTTCTCTTCTATAGCCATTGATTTCTTTTTTCTCTCTCTCAATAATGTCTAGCTGTGTTGTGATATTCTAAGTGTTCACAACTGTGTATTTATAGTATTGATGAAGATTTAAAATTGAAAACTAAATAATATTTGTATTTTATCATATATCTCTTTCTTTTTTTTTATAGGCAAAATTTGTTACAAAATTTTGAAAAGATTTGATATCTATACTTCGATCAATCAAAATTTGTTACAATAGAATTATTAATAGGGTATCACAAGTAGAGTTAAACTTCAAATAAGGATAGTTTGTTTATTTCAATTTTAGTTGGATAATTTCTGTATATATCTCAGCCACCTTTATCCTTTATTATAGGCTAAACTTTTTAGAACATAAAATATATATATATATATATATATATATATATATATATATATATATATATATATATATATATATATATATATATATATATATATATATATATATATTTTATGTTCTAAAAAGTTTAGCCTATAATAAAGGATAAAGGTGGCTGAGATATATACAGAAATTATCCAACTAAAATTGAAATAAACAAACTATCCTTATTTTAAGTTTAACTCTACTTGTGATACCCTATTAATAATTCTATTGTAACAAATTTTGATTGATCGAAGTATAGATATCAAAGAGGAAACAAAATTTTAAGTTTAATTCTATCCTTATTTTACACATAAATTAAAGATTTGATACTAAAGAGCCAATTTCAACGTCTAATCCAAAAGGAAACAAAATCTATTTTATAATTTAAAATTTAATTTTTTAACCCCCTTTGATCTATATATTTTAATTACTGTTAGTTCTTTTTGAAATAAACATAGTTTTTAAAAAAAAATTAGATATACATCTTTTTACTTCCATTCTATTGTTTTACTTTTCATTCCATTAAATTTTATCAAACTTCTATATAAAATATAGTTAAATAAATTTGTGATTTTTATAAGTTTGAGCATAAAGGAATCCACATCGCAGGAGTTTTTAGACCGATTGATTTAGCGAACTCACTGCAAGGGTGTAAGCCTCGCTCGAGGAGATATTTCTTCATCCCGTCTGTCGTGGAGATCTAAACGGCTTCCTGACTGAACCTTTCAATATACGTTCGAACGGACTCATCCTTCTCCTAGATGATGGCCTCCAGCGCAACTTCTCAATATTGATCAACTCAAATATAAATCATAAAACAAGTGTATTTTCCCATATATTTATCATCAAGTGTTCACATACAAAATATCAAGTTAAATACATACAAAGATGAGATTATCTACCACTAACCTTGACACAAAAGAGGGGTTTAGCTATCCATTATCATGGTAGCTTGATGAACAAGTAAACTACAAACTTTATAAATATCAAACTTGATATCTCAAAGATTGATGTTAGAAAGCTTTGATTTTGAGTAAAAATGACTTTTTTTCTCCACACAAGAGTTTTCTAGGTTACAAAGATTAAGTAAAATGTGATAACGTGCCTAAAATATCTTTAAAGGTGTCTTACAAACATGGCTTGTCCGCCTTGCCTCGTCGGAAGGCACACTTGCTTCGTCGGGCGACACCCACAAAACAAGCCCACGTGCTAGCAACAGTGCACGCAAGGAGAATTTGTCTAATCAACTCTTGAGCATCCTTGAGCATTTGAGAACCCTAGAAGAATGTCTTGAAGAAAATGGGAGGAAATTTTTTTGGGTACAATAGCTGCCCCTGTTCAATCTTCTTAAACCTGAAGAGTTAGATTGGCGGATCCGCCATTCATGACTTGAAGGTGAAAGATGATTGAACACTAAAGTGCCCAGAAATTTGCACTCGAAGATGTATTGGGAATGGGCTTATAGATGCCATTTGGAGGAATGATGGTAAATACTGGAAGAAGTATCAGTATAAATCTTTGGTCGATTTATATTAAAACTTGATGTTTTGCCTGTGGGAAAAAGGGTTAGTTAAATGCAGATGTATGCATGGCGTTCTCAAGATGAATGAGATTGTGCTAAATGCGTTTCGTATGCATATGCTATGATGTATGAATGTGAGATTTTATTTAGATGCATATTTGTCTGGGAAAATAAATCCCTGACTACTGCTGAGGAGTTCTGGGAAGCTGAATCCCGGATTGCTGTTGAGGATGAAGAATATACATATCTTCAAATTTATTAAAAGAATGCTTCCGCCGGGGATTATCTCTTGAATGTTATCTGTTATCTGGTCGAACTCCAAGTTTCACACCAACTTGCTGAGGATGAGGAAGTCAACTGATATCTGGTCGGATTCCAAGTTTCACAATGAATTTTTGAGGGAATAAAGTTAATTGCTATCTGGTCGGATCCAGGCTTCATAATAACTTACTTGAAAATATGAAGTTGAACTGATATCTGGTCAGATCCATGCTTCACAATAACTTTCTTGAAACTAGTTATTATCTTATCGGGTTCCAGGCTTCACAACGAATTTTTGGGGGAATAAAGTTAATTGTTATCTGGTCGGATTTAGGCTTCACAATAACTTACTTGAAAAGATGAAGTTGAACTGATATCTGGTCGGATCCAGGCTTCACAATAACTTGTTGGGGTAGAGGCAAACTCTATTGGGGAAAAGAAGTTAAACCCTTGTCTGGTTGAGTTCAGGTTCTTCAATATCTCGAAGAGTTAAACTTTATTTGGTCAGGTCCATGCTTCAAAGTGTCTTGAGAAGTTAACTATTATCTGGTCAGGTCCAGGCTTCATAGTAACTGAAACATGTACTATTATCTGGTCGGGGCCAGGCTTCATAGTATTTGAAAAGTTACACTATTATCTGGTCGGGTCCAGACTTCATAGTGACTGAAAGTTGTACTATTATCTGGCTGGGTCCAGGCTTCATAGTAACTGAAAATTATACTATTATCTGCTCGGGTCCAGGCTTCATAGTATTTGAAAAGTTACACTATTATCTGGTCGGGTCCAGGCTTCATAGTGATTGAAAGTTGTACTATTATCTGGTCGGGTC